TAATATTGGAACAAGGGGGTTTTGGCCTTTTTTTGTAGTACGCTTCATGTTTTGAAAGTGAGTCAAAACTGACTTTTTCCCCCTAATGATCAAAATACAATTATTTACAATAACAATTCTCAAACTATTAAAAATATTTGTGTAAGTAGCAAGTGGCGGAGACTACAGGTATGACCTGTGCCTTCTGGAAAGTCGTTGGTGAAATTTGGAGTTGAGTACTTGGCCCATGGGAATCATCAAATGAATTGTATTCCTTCCATATTAAGGAGGATAAATTCTTTATCAGAAAGGATACAGGTTGCTTCTAATATTAAACCATGAAGTACTTACAAGACAAGTCTAATACCAAAAGATTCTCAAGTCCCTTTTTCAGTACTCGTACTGGTGCTGTCATTCTGCGAAGGCCTGCATCTGATAAAGAGTTGTCTTTCAGGAGAAGCCGTTTTACGCTGGGAGGAGAGATACAAATGCATAGTTTATAGTCATTATTTTAGACAGTTTTGCAGAATGTCCTAAAACTCTGTGTCGGAAGGCCGGGGTCTTCCTGCGCCAACCCTTCAGGCCACTTTGTTAACATTAGTAAAAAGTACCAAGAAAGAAGCCTGGGTTAGTAGGACTAACAAATATCTTTATATTGCCTCTGCTAGCTCAACAGAAGCACTTACCTGACCAGCTACTCCCAGAGCTCCAGTGACAAACCGATCTAGAGCACAAGCATTTGCTAACAGAGACAATAAGGTTCTTTATACACTGAAGTTATTTAAACTAGGGCTGCCACTCTCAAATCCACTCAAAACTAAAAAGAGAAAAATGCTTGGCACAATGGGAGAGGACAGATTCGGTAAGAGATACGGCAATGATTTTAAGTAAGCAATGAGGTATTATAACATAGATGAACAAAACTCAGGGAAAAACGTAACACTAAAACATTCTTCAGAGCCCTTCAAAACAAAACCTTGATGCAAAATGCGCCAAAATCTTATAGTAACATAGTATCTGCTAATTAGCAGTCATCCTGCTTATTTTCAAAATTTTCTACTTTTCAATCTTTAGTAGCAAACAAAATTACAAAATTTATTTTTTTGAAATGTTAATTAACTAAATATTCAACCTACTGCTTGCAGAAATCTTCATCTGGAACACTGGTTTGGTTAAAAATTTGGCTGATAAAAGTTTCCTCTTAAAAAAGGAAATAAAAGTGTAAAACTGTTCCAAATGCTTAAGATGCAGTTTTTACCTGGCCAGTGGGAATTATAAAAAGTTGATGTAAAAACATGAGACAGTAAATTATCTTAAACATTTGTAGGACCTTTTATGATTCAGTATGTGCTTTGGATCATGTGCTTTGTGTACAGTAAATTCTGTATTTTGTTTACCTCAAGAATGGGGTTTATGAACAACCGAAATCTTCAAACTACATTGCTGCCTGTGAAACTTTCCTTTAAAGCCACAGCCTGATTCTTTGAACTGCTTAGCGATAGGAAAAGAAAGTGTCATTTTTAGCTATGTGTCAAGAAATCGGTACCTAGACAGAGCCTCTTTGGTGAGGTGTTCCAGCAGTTCATGTTCATCTCCAAGTTTACAACAGGAGAGATCTAAACACGTCAGCTCCCGGAAAGACTTAATTTCTTCTAGCTTTTCAGAGATAACCAGGTATCTGCAAAGAGAAAAAAAACCCAAAAAGCTATCAGTGTAGGCACCCATATCCTCAAGTGTCACAAGCATAACGCAGTTGTTTCTTGTAAGTACCTATGTGAAAATTGACAGAAATTAGCCAGCTGTCCTAACTACCTTTTTATGTGCAGTCTGCACACAATACATCTGAGTTCCCAGTCTTTTCCTTGAACAAATGTCATGGTTTTGCTTTCATTCAAAATATTGGACTAACAATTAAGACTTCAACTTGCAAACATCGCAGTTAGGGACTTCTTTACAGATTATTATTGTATTATTTCAGAATAATGCAGAATATATATTCCAGTTTACCGTAAATCAACTTCACAAACTGCTCTTCCTCAGTATCTAGGAAGTGTGTAGACAAACCCACGTTCATCCGGGTTTAAAATCTACTTCAAATGTATCAGCATAGCTTGTCAAATGGCAAAATTTTACTTTTTATATACGTAAACAAAATACTTCACTAGACATAAAAGTCCTACAGGACACCTGCAGGACTCCAACTAGAGCTGTCACTACACCCCAGGCAGTAGTTTTTCAGTGGGTTATTTTTTTAGCTGTGTTGGTTCCCTGATCTGAGTCACTCTGCAGCCATGCAAACATCTGTGCTGGAACTATTCAGTAGGAGGTTTAGAGATGGGAACAAACCACTCAAGAATGGCATGCATGAATATGCAGTAATAAGCACGTAGCAGTCACTACCTCACCAATCTCCTCTGCGTTTACTTCTTATTGTCCCTGTGACAAGAAAAGCCCCAAATTCACTAATCTCTCCTGAATTTACCTTATATTCCCCATGGCAAGACAAACCCTGAGGTCAGCATCTTCACTGCTGAAATGAGGGGCGCTTACTAATTTGATCCCTCAAGGAACACCTCTTTGGCCATGCAAATAAGGGGACCTTAATATCCTCCCACTTGCAAGTATACCTATCAAACTACCCCACCAAATCCCTTTGCCATGCAATTCAGCTATGCGGAAGGCGGAGTGCAAGCCAATTCTTGAGAGGTACTACTAGCTCAAGGGGGTTGTGAAGAGAAGAGTGGGCTCTTTTAGAAATAAGATTAATCAGAAAATGCCTTAATATCTTACTTCCTGGATTTCAAAGACTCGATACTTAACTCGGCTTTCTGTAATGGCAAAAGATGCCAGAAGTAACTTCATTTCTGAATTAAGCCCACAAAAAGTATCTGTACTAGAGATAAAAAGGGAGTAGGTTTAAAAGATAAAACAAAGGATAATTGACCTCTGCTCAAACATTCCTACTGTGCTTAAAACACCCTTGGTACTTCAGATGAATATGCCTGTACTTTGATTTTAAACTGGATAAACCATCCCTTTTTCAAGTGTACAGATGGAAGACAGACCGGTTATATTACTGGGAAAGACTTTAGTAGGAGCAAGGCTTTAAAAACATAATCCAGTTTTAAGCTTGGTTAGACTTTCTTTTAGTGAAAAACAATGTGGACATTGAGAAGATGGAAAAACTGGTGCTGGACTCTCATCAGAACCTCGTTAAAACATGTTCAATACGGGGATGGGAACCACAATAAACTAAGGTAAAACCTGCCTGACTTCAAAGCCTGTAACTTACCTACAAGACTGTATCTTCCTCTGAGCCCCCAAAATGAAACAGGATAGCAAGCTTATAGTAAATAAACCCAGACATTTTGCAAGGGTGTATTTTATCTGTACAGTCAGCTAAGTATGTTGAAATACTTATAAACAGCAATTACAAAAACGTCCCATGAAATACCTGAGAAGGCATTAAACACACAGATTGCTACGGAAGTGCTGATTATTATTGTTAAAAAATAGTTGCAGGTTTAATCCTTCACATAAAATCCCCTGTTAGTTAACACGCATGTAGTCTGTTACCTGTATTATGATTTGTATCTTAGAATGAAACTAGCAGCTGCACTTGTAGGAAAGGAATCATAAAATCATAGAATCACAGACTCCTTTAGGTTGGAAAAGACCTTTAAGGTCATCGAGTCCAACTGTTAACCTAGCACTGCCAAGTCCACCACTAAACCATGTCCCTAAGTGCCACATCTACACGTCTTTTAAATACCTCCAGGGATGGTGACTCAACCACTTCCCTGGGCAGCCTGTTCTAATGCTTGACAACCCTTTCGGTGAAGAAATTTTCCTAATATCCAGTCTAAACCTCCCCTGGCACAACTTGAGGCCATTTCCTCTCATCCTATCTCTTGTTACTTGGGACAAAATGGGAATGGAAATGGGACAAAATGAAGCAACCAGCAAAGTAAGAAAGACAAGGCTCAGGTAATTTCATGAAAATTAGGTGCTGTCATAAGGCCCAAGAGATTTTTTTTTATTATTTTTGAGAGAAAATAATTTAAGGGAAACTTTAAGTGTGCTAGCAAAAAGCACTAGCAGACGATGACATTTGTTACTGAACACACTTACCTATTCCGCAAGCATAATGAACATAGCACCAAACTGCCATATGCTTCAGTAAACTTCTGTAGAGCTCTCAGTCCCGTTACTGGTTCCGTGAACTTTTGTCTTGCTTCTGCAGCTGAAAAGAGCTTTTCAGCAATCTGCTCTGGGAAACCAATCAACGAGTCAATGTGATCAACATTGTCAGAAATGTAACCCAGCACCAGGCTGAAGAGAGACTTGGCCGAGTACCGGAGGTTCCCCTCCTTAGTGTACGTGAAGATGAAATGATCAGTCCTCTGCCTCCTTGCCCTATCGTCCTCCCTGTTCATACAAAGCTCCACCGAAAATCCTCTGGAAAACAGCCTAAAAGGTCTTGTTTTGGGAGTGACATTCTGTATGCCGCCTGCACCCTGATTTACCACGTGCAGCTTCCCATTTTCACGCACATATATTGGCCCAGTATCCAAATGGCTTTCTGAGTGGAGACAGTAAGACATTCCCCTCGTCCAGTTCTGCAAAAACAAACCATAGACAAGTAAAGAATAGCCACAGAGGAAAACACGACTCAGGAAAGACCCCAAACCCTGGCAGCTTTCCTCAGTGCCCCGAGCGCGCACGGTCATGTAACCCTGCAGTGCAAGGAAGGCCAGGCTGTGTGGAACAGGGCTGTGCACTGCCATCAAACCGCAAACACCAGTCAAGTGAGAACTGAACGCAGGGCTGGCAAAGAGGTGAAGGGCCTTTGCTCTGGCAGGGCCCTGTTGCTCTGTGCCTGGTGCCCATTAGTGGCCTGGGGCTGAATCCCAGTCCTGCACAGGAAGGGGCAACGGGAGGGGTTCTGGGGCTGTGTGGAAAGCCGCCCCCACAGCTTGGCCTGGCTCTGCTGCAGGTGGGGGGGAGGAGGAGGAGGGCAAATGGCCGACTGCAGGAGGGCAATGGAGCCTGCTGGAGAATCTCCCTCCCTGGCAGGGTGGGCAGGCTCCTGGTGCCCCTTCCCCAGCCTAGCTCAGCCGGTGCCAGGGGGCTCTGGTTTGTGAGCAGGGCTCCTGGCAGGGGGCAGGAGGGCGCAGACCCTGCCAGGGCAGGGAGCAGGGGAGGGACGGGGTCCTGTCAGCTCCTATCCTGAGGGGCTGGGGGCTCAGGTCCCGCGGGGCAGGACGAGATGGGGCCTTGCCTGAGGGGGGGAGAGGGGTGCTGAAGGGATCGGTCGCTGCCCGGGAGGAGGGGGGCCGAGGGGATCGGGTCCAGCCCTGAGGGGGCGAGAGGGAGGGTCGGGCCCTGCGCGGGGGGGGCTGGGAAGG